TGAGCATTGGACTCAACCCACGCTCACTGGAATCACTTCATGGAATTTATCTCGAGTGATCGTGAGACGGTAATATCATATAAGTCTTCAAACCTAGATATATGATTTGTTACTTATGAGTTGGTTATGCATTGATTGTATGAAAATGCATTGGTAAATCGATGTTATAAAACGTGCTCTTGTGTATAATTCAATGAGTAGTAGAACAAACATATGAGTCGAAGTTTATCTGTTCCTTCTTGGATTAGAAGCTGATATCTGGGCCCCTCGATGATTTTGTTTTGACCTATGTACCGGGCCCGGTCAGACTAAGTTGATGTGTTCAATTGAGTTCTATGTCAAACAAATCGGAAATCAGGAAACAAACTGCTGGACACAAAGTAAGACACTGTTCCATGTATTTGTCCTGCTGATATCTAGAACAGAGGATTATATGATCACTTATCTGAAATGGCGTATCATCATCTTCTCAGTTCCGAGAAACCTTGAAAAGAGCTACGATTGCTGATCGGTTCCTGAAGTCATACTTGCAGTTATAGTTATTAGACTTATCCAAGTGGGAGACTGTTGGATAAGGTGTCTAAGTCCATAACTATTTCTGGTATGTACTTGACCCGACCCGACATGGTCCATTTGGGTTGCATGGCATCATGCATTTGGATAGACTAAATGAGAGAAATAACACTTGTGGTTTATTAATATATTATAAGTTCTAATATATTAATAGTATTATTTAATTAGTATTGATCAAGAATTAATCTAGGATTTAATTAAGTGATCAAAAGATGACTAATTAAATATATGGGTTGATCATGTAAATCATTCATAACTTGTATAGTGGGCTAAAAGGCTCCATGGATAATCAAGTTGGGTTAAACCCATTGAATGCTCCATGGAGGCTCCATGGAGTTAACCCATGGATCATGAAATGAAGAGTCATGTTACATTAGGGTTTACCTAATGCAACACACTATATAAACAAAGGTGTTCTCCCCAAAATCGGCGACACTAAGAAACAAGAGGGCTAGAGCCGATTTTGCAAGTGTAAGATTCTCTCAAAGTTTACTCCTTTGCATTTGGTGTTGTGTGAAGCATTTGAGGCATCACACTTGGGGTGCTAGGCTCACAAGGTTTCAAGGATCATAATCAACAACAAGGTAAGTTATTTTATCTTTCATTCAAGTTAAAAATGTTCCCCATGTATGCTAGATAGGAATATAACCTTGGAATCCAACTTTGCATGATAATTAGACAAACATAGATCCAAGGTTATTAGGGTTGCATGTCACTTAGGAAGTGTTAGAATGCTCAAAACCCATCACTCCCGCGGACCATCATCAATCGGCTCGGAACCCATACCCGAACCAGACCCTGATCCTGAACCTCCTGCTCCCTGACGCATCATCACCATTCTAAAACAAACCATACAACTATCAGGATCATGAATACAAATCGCGAGATTTCACATTCTACAAGCCCTCCTGGTTTCCTCGTGGTCCTCCCCGAATCGAGTATGGATCATCTGCTTTCAGTAGTACGGGCTCATACTACCTTCCACATCTATCCGTACTTTCCTCGAGGATTGCTTTGAATCTTCTAGGTCACTTCCTACCCAAACATACAATTAAAATCAGATAAGGATCCTGACACTAATCTCTTCCTAGACACCCTCTAAGACACAACTCTCCCCACTCACTGCCCTCAGCTGCCTAAAGGACTTCCACGAACTTCCTATAACTAGCGTACAAATACAGTTTCATATTACTAAAACCAGATAATTCTTAGAATGAGAGGTCTTACTTTACAACGGTTGGACTCAAACAAGAACTGCACAGTAGAGCCAAACCTGACCTTTTAAAATTATTTGGTTCGCATAACATGTAACTTCGTGTATTCGCCCACTAGTTAACTGCAGTTAGTTAGAACTCCTAGAAGCACAAAGCAAGCAACATTTTGGCTTCGGGTAACAAAGCAAACATACCCTAATCAGGCCATCCTATTACTAAAAGATAAGCACTAGCATGCAAGTCTACAAGCTCATACAGTGGCATTCAAGGTATCTCTCCTAGCACTCTATCATGCAAAATTTGAGCAGATCCCTAGCCTTAACTAGCATGAAATCCACATATTCATAAATCAATTCATAGCAGATAATATGTATGGGTATCTTGGGGAAACTTACTTGAGCTCGGCCGATTGCACGCATCACACTCTTTGCCCTTTGTTAAACCCTTAGTAAAAAAAAGTTTTCTTATAAAAACCTATCAAACCCTCGATTTGTGTTCAGGCACACCCGAGAGTGTGTCCAAATCCCTCAAACCAAGGCTCTAATACCAACTTGTAACATCCCAAAAATTACAACCCAAAAATTTCATTTTTAAAGTTACTAAATCGATAACCCAAAACATCATCAGTTTCAAAAGCAATGTGTACATACGGTAATTATAGTATTTTAACAAAACCAGACATAGAAAAGTATTATCAAAGTTTAAGTCCCAAAATGTCTACTGTGGAAAATCATGGTGTGATGCAATGCGATCATGCCAGCCCTTTTCCCTTCGAGCTAGAAGTACCTGAAACACAAACTGAAACTATAAGCACAAAGCTTAGTGAGTTCCCCCACCATACCACATACACAATAAACATATTGCCAAGCATATCTGGGTGCTGGCCTACCCCCTTCGGTCTATTTCAACCGGATAATGCCGAGCATATCTGGGTGCTCGACCTGCCCCTTCGGTCTATTCCAACCGGATATCGGGTCTATTCCACCCCTACCACTACCACATAATATCCCACATAAATCATAGAATCATCAAACATTACATGGACAACCGATAATTATCACGAATACAATCATCATGCCATATCATAACTAGTGGGCCGACCTTGGTGCCTTCGACCCATAAATTCTATGAAAGGAGACTCACCTCAAACTGTAGGTGTAATAACGTGCTTGACGAATGACTCATGAACTCCTCCCCCTATCGCACATCATAAATTTCTAATTAGCTAACAAAGTATGACTCCAACCCTAATTTACGTCTTAGAAAAGATTCCTAATTCTTCCCTTATTGGGCCTTTTCCTCCTAAGGCCCAATTTCGAACAACCCAAAAGTGCCCAAGCCCAAAAAATTAAATTCTAAGGCCCAATAAGGCCCAAAGGTCTTCATCCACAGATGGACTTAGGGCCCAACAAGCCAAGCGCCAACAAATCAAGGCCCAACAATCATTTTTGCATTCTGCAAGCGTACGCGCGGCAGACTCCGCATGTACGCCCAACGTACGCTGGTCTTGACCTGACTCGGGTGGTTGACCCAGTACGCGCAGCGTACCAGGGAGTACGCCCAACGTACTGGCCAGCCAACCCAAGAATCCTCTTTATGCTTTTGCATGCATGGATGGGGATTAAGACATAGATTAAGTCCTTATACACACTTAGCTCGTACCTAACACTTGCATGGTTGAGGCTAAACCATCAAGGTCCGATTTTTATGGCTCTTAACACTTCCAAGAGCCAAAAAGGAAAGATCATATGGACTGAAAACTCATTTACTCAAAGGACCTCAACTATGGGACCAAAATATACCATAAAACACCCCAAAACTAGATCTAAGCATGCAATGGTCAAGTTTTAAGCTTTATACCTCAAATAGGTCAGAAATAATGCCAAGCTTCTGGATCTACAAGCCCTCTTCACATCCTTGCTTCTTCTCTAAACTCCTTCTTCTTCAAACACCACCAAAAATGCACAAGATAAGCTCAAAATGCATGCAGGAGGTCTAGGGTTCAGTTCGAACACTCTAAGGATGATGGAGGTTGAGAGAATGAGGGTTAGGAGGGACATAAGGTCTTTAAATAAGGTGCAAACCCTAATATTTAAGGTTTGCTTCTGGCCAGACTACGCCCAGCGTACGCAGGGGCTTCCCCCGATTCGCGCCTCACCCATGTACGTCGTGCGTACACTATGTACGCCCAACGTACGACCCTTTCCCATATTAAAATTATCTATAAGTTTTTATAAGCAGCAAAAGAAGATACCTGGTAACTCGGGCATTACAAGTTGTACATAGTGATTCCTTGTGCACCTGATCAACGCTATTGCAACCAAGCATGTGTTCCCGCTCTATTGTTGGGTGGTGCACAAGTCTCCATATAAAATTCCAATGTAATTTTAACTCTCATTCATAAATTAATAATAAATCTCTTTATTTCGTTAAAATACATAGCACGATTACCCTAATTGTGAACGACATTGATCATTGTACTTTTTTGCATCTCTAATTGTGTATTTCTTCTAGATGCTAACCATTCCAAATTAGTATATTGAAAATGAGAAATTAAATACTCTCCTACCTTTTGTTTCTAAATATACTCTTACCCATTTAAATGATAACATGTGTCATATTAATATCCTAAAATATCATTAAATTTCATTAAATGAGCATTAAATGTTACACATGTCAAAATTTTATTGGATATGAGGATATGTAGGAACAAAAAGTAGGAGGATATTTAATATCTCTTTGAAAATACATGTAATTTCTCCATAATCTTGTGTAACTTTAGTATTATTATAATATGATAAAAAGACACTTAAATAGAAAAGTCCCTTTTGTCAAATAGAAAACTACAGTATTTTGTATTAAATGTGAATTGAAAGAAAAGATGTATTTTTCACAAAAATGGAACTTATGAAATTGTCTCATTGAATGCATCTTGAAGGCATACACCCGGTAATTGGAAACTTAGTAACAAAAATCAACATTTTCTTCTTTTTCTTAATTGATCAATCATCTTCATACCTTATTAATCCTATGTTACTTTATTCATTTATATAAACGCTATATATATTTCGGTACTATCCATTTTGAGCAAAGAATAAATTATAGACAAAAAGGTGTTGATCGAATTTGTGTTTTCTTTATTGGAAAGAACGAAAGGTCGAGATGAACTAGCAGTAGTGAGAAATTGATTTTCATACGCAAAAGAAGTATAAAATGAGGGCTTTGAAGCCTATGAACCGAAACCCGAGCAAGAAAGAGCATTTCAAAACAGGATCATCTAATAAAAAACGGAGACTTGATGAAGGTCATTTTGCTAGGAAAAATGGAGGAACAAGTTCATCAAAATCGCAAAGAATCAGTAGTCGTAGAAGCAAGAGGTTAGAGAACAGCAACCCCAAAGAAACACAAAAAAGTGCCACAATTCTATCATGGCTCGTCGATTCCAAAATAGTCCCAGATAGCGCAACCATCTACTATACAGGCACAACAACTCAAGATGGTTTTAAGAAAGGGACAATAGAGGCCAATGGGATTGTATGTACTTGTTGTCGAAGCTTTTTCACTGTCCCGGGTTTCCAAGTGCACACGGGAGGGAGAATTATTGACAATCCCTATGATGCAATCGGAGTTGATGGAATTCAAGGAGATGGTAGTATTACTCCCCTTTCACAATGTATGGAATCAGCTTTGAAAAAACGAGATGAACCAGAACACCATGGGATCAAACATGTCACCACGAAAGGATCAGATGGCGATATTTATGATGATGCGTGTATGTTATGTGCTGATGGAGGGAATCTGATTTGTTGCGAACAATGTAACTCGACATTTCACGTGAAATGCTTGGGCATGCAGGTAATTATAAGTTGAATTTGGTTTTGGTCTTCATTTGCAATACATGTCTTTCGTAAAATGAGACTTCTAGTGTGCAGGTGGTGCCTGATGAGCCATATTATTGTTCGTATTGCGCTTGCAAGTTATGTGGAAAGCCTGTTACCAAAAGGGATTCTTCTTGGCTCACTTGCTCTTTATGTGAAAAACAATGTATACGAATTAATTATAATATCTCGTATCCTTATCGAACACTAGAGAATTAATTAATTGTTTATGTAAATACAGATCATGTGAAGTGTTCAAAAGAGTCGTTAACGATCGACATTAATCGCTTTCCAAGAGCATTTTGTGAGAAAAGTTGTCGAAGCATTCATGAAAAGTTGGAAAGCAAGTTAGGAGTGAAAAGAATGCTTGAAGACGACTTGTCGTGGACTTTGCTGCACAGATTTGATAGAGAATATGGTTCTTACGAGGTTAGTGCAACCAAAAGACTCGAGTGCTACAGCAAGCTTGCGGTTGCATTCAGATTATTGACAGCTTGTTTTGAGCCCATAAGAGATCGACACACGAGAATCAACATGATTCGAAATGTAGTGTACAATTGTGGGTGAGTAATAATGAAAAAAAAATCAAATTTGATGGAAATTTCAAGACTTAATAGTTGATCATAATCATGGTTTAAAGATTTATTTAGGTCCGATTACCAACGGATAAATTTCCGTCGCTTTTTCACTGGTATAATTGAAAAGGGTGATGAAGTTATAGCAGTGGCATCAATCAGGTATATTTCATAAATTATGTCTTTAGGATTCATGGGAACTCGTTTTCTTGATGTGTTTTGCTTATTTTTTTAGAGTTCATGGAAGTAACCTAGCAGAGATACCATTTATAGCAACGGCTGAACCACACAGAAACAAAGGAATATGTGGCAAACTGTTGAATGGGATCGAATCTGTAAGTCATGGTTTAAGATTAGAGTACCTTTTTCATGTTTCTTGATCTTATCGATTTAGAAAATATGGTGGTTTGGTTATAGTATACGAATTGAATTGGCAGGATCTTCAAGATTTTGGAGTTAGAACGTTGGTTATCCCTTCTTCATCCGAGACGATAAGGGTTTGGAACGAGAAATATGGTTTTAATCTTCTAAAGGACGAGACAAAGAAAGAAATCATGAAACTGAACGTACTTATGTTTCATGATTGTTTAAGAATGCAGAAGACGATACGAGGTTATACCTTCCTTCTCTTTCTCTAGATCTGTGCACACACGTTTGCACGTATATATATACCTTAAGATGTTTGATTATACCTTCCTTCTCTTTGTCTAGATCAGGGCACCATTTAGTTTTATTGTAAGTGACATACAATAAATTCAATTAATTAATATTGACTAATGCATAACAACATTGCTTTCTTCATGCAGAAAGAATCGATTTAAACGCCGAACCACCTCAAGAGTATGACAGAAGAACAGTAGCATGTTGATTTTAACTTTTTTTAGAAGCAAGATATACTCTATACACTAATTTCATAATTATCAAACTTTGTTATGGATTGCTAACGGAATTATGATGCATTATCGAAAATTTTCACTACGACATATTTTTGAGAGATAGCTCCTGCTACAAAGTAGCTTCGCCCCTCACATATACTTAGCTTTGATAATGATGATTATAATATTAAGCTTTAT